CAGAGTGCCAGTGTCCCACTTGCAAGTCCAGCTTCTTAGATGAGAATGCAGGATGACAGCAAGGCCCAAGTGCTTGGGGCCCTGCCAACATTTGGAAGACCTGGATGAACTCTTTGGCTCCTGGCTTTGTCCCGGCCTACCCCTGCATGTTGCAGGCATTTGAGGAATGAACTAACAGAAGATCACTCTCTTTCTGTCTGCCTTTGAAATAAAGTGAAAAGAAATGAGTGTAAAGGCAGTTTTGCACAGCACAATCCCATGGACACACAGATGCCAAACAAAACTGGAAATGGAGGCACCCAAAGGTTTGCAAGAAGACTGCATTGTGGGGAGTAGGAAGATGGGTGCCTTTCTCTTTGTTAATTTGCAAAGTGTTCTGTTTCCACAAGGAACATCTAAGCTGTGTTCACGTAGGAGCTCCAGGTGTCTTTGCTCAGCCTCCTTGGAACCTCTGCTGTGTTTACCGGGAGTGAAGTGACAGCCCAGAGCTGCCACAGTGAATGTGTCTCTCTGGCTGGGTGAGGCACACTTTGGAATTCAGTGCTCTGGACCTTCCAGGGTTAAAGGAGAAGCCTGCTTTATGATGGAGCAGAGATGGTAGAGCTTGTCCTCTCACAGACAGAACTGCGGGGATGGGAGTGGGGAACCAGCAGAGCCTGCACCTGCCAGCAGCCTTTTCATGTGAGGGGCATCCATGTGCCTGCACTTGCCAGCCTTCCCCTGCCTCAGGCTCAGCTTTCAGGTCACCCAGCTCATTTCTCGCAGGTGCTTTTGTGTCTTTGCCTCTTCGCGTGTTTGGATGGGGAATCACCTTTCTGCAAGAGGATGTTTTCAATTCTCTCTCTCCTTTATATTTTTATTTTTCCTTTTACGTCTACTCCTTTCCCTCCAGCCCCAAGTAACGCCATCAACAACCTCACAGTTTATGATAGAATAGGCATTACCATTGCTGCTTTCCATTGAGTCCCCCCTTCTCCCCTTCCCCAACCACCGCAGAGCTGTCTGCAAACACAGGAGGTAAAGCAGGGGGCAATGTTGAAGTCTGCGGTGAGAAGTCAGCATCTGTCTGGCCAGCTGAATAGGAAGTGTACAGAGGTAACTGGAGCCCAGGAACGCCTGATCATCAGATTCCCAGGTTCTGGAAGACATGCAGTTCTGGATCATTAGCCAGTGAGTCATGATTTCAGTCCGAGTGGCTCTGGCAGAAGCAAAGCCCTAGAGGTGGACTGGAATTCCCAACAGCTCCTTGGTGCTCACAGAGGGCATCCCTGTGAGTTGCTAAGCAGCCACACCTCAGAGAGTCCTGGGAAGCAGCTATCTGGGGGAGCAGTGGGCTCTGGGGTTCAGGAGAAGTTTCTCAAACTTGTGATACAAGCATCAAACTTGGAGTGTTTGGGGAGGGCCGGAAAGCGAGGTGGTCCTCTCCTCCTGGACCCGCTGACCTTCTGGAAATCTGCTGGAACTTCCCAGGAGTCCAGCAGGTTCCCATGGGACTCCTGCAGTCATTTCCTTGAAGTTCCCAGGGAGCATGCTAGGAGCAAGTTGTATGCAGCTGAAATGAGGCCACTGATGTCAGCAAAACATCAATTATTTTTATCCCTGGCCAATGAAGGCACATCCAATAACAGACTAGGGTGACACCAAATCTCCCCCTGGCACTGAGGGAGGCAGTGCTGGTGGTGAGCAGGAAGAGGCAAGGGGCAATATGGGGTGTCAGGCCGGCAAGGCCCTTGCTAGTGCTGGGTGCGCCGCTGTGACACCAGTACCCTCGTAATACCTGAGGACCTTGGCCTGTCCTGCAGGTGGCAGATCTCACCTGAGCATCAGCACAGACTGGAAGGATGCCAGGTGGGAGAGGGGAGGGCCCTTGAGGGGTGGGCCTGTGTGATATCAATCATGAGAGTGCGGAGTAAGAAAACATGGCACAGCCTCAAGGCCACAGGATCCAGGGGCTCACGCTAAACCATTGGGAGGTTGGGGATTGCCACTTTCTGCAGCGTGTCCTGCGTGATAAGGTGACGGGAGAGGGAAAGAAACCAGTGGTTGGCTTTGAGTACCTGGGCCTATATGTGTGATGATTCAACAAGAAATGTCGCTGCGGGGAGAGAGGTGTGGGCTTTGACCACACTACGTAGGCTGCAGTTTTGAAAGAACCATTAGACGAGAGAGGACAAAACAAAAAGACGTGAGATTTGTGTAAAAGGAGTGTTCATGGCTGATCGTCTGTGCCATGCGCTCTGCCTTAGCGTTGAAGACTGCGTGGCTGCAGCAGGCCGGCCTCTCCTTAGACAAGCTGCATATGGAGGCCGGGCTCCTGAAGCAGCAGGCTGGGAGGCAGTTGCCATCAGTCAGTGCGTCGGCCTCTCAGGGAGAGCCTTGGAGAAGTGAAGGGATGGAAGCGTGGCATGGAGCCCTGGAAGACGTCTTCTCCACGGAAGCCTTCATCAGCCCAGCAGGGAATGAGGCTTGGGGCTGGCAAGCCTAGCCATGGACCAAAGTGTTCAGGGAAGGCAGTCACAATGAATGGAGAAGTCTCACTGTTAGAGCTGTCTGCAGCCACAGCGGAGCATTGAGGGTGGGTGCACATCTCCCCCAGCCCAGGAGGAGTAGCGCAAATAACTGAAAATGGTGCCTAGTCCTGGGAACCTAACAGCATCTTTTGCAGTTCAGCCTGTCCCCCAGGAATCTGTATGAACAGGTCAGTGGGCACAGGCTATAGCTGCACATTTCTCCTGGCCAGGAAAGACTGCTGGTTGATCTGTAGTAAAAAACAACTGAGATGATGCCGGTCAAACTGACAAGAGGGCATGCCTCCGCCCAGCTGAGCTCGCCAGGCCTGGCTAGCTTGACTCAGAGACTGAGCCCAGCTGAGAGATGGAAGCCATCTTTAGACTGTCCTCACTTCCTGGAGCCACCCCGGGGCACCAGTCACACACACATACACACGTACTCCCCTTTCAGAAGGTGTACGGCAGCAGCAAAAGGCACTGAAAACTTCAACCCTACCATGAAAACACACTCCCCAGGGTCGATATGACCGGTACAGCCAGGGAGATACATATTTCAAGTTCTGTTCAGTGCCTAAGTGTCTCGTTGAAGACGCATGCTCTCCGGCTCCTCAGACATGTGGACAGTGAGCAGACAGTGGCTAGCTCCTAACGCTTCCAGGGAAGGAAGCTTCCAGGGATGAAAACACCATTCAGTGAGGCAGAAGCCTGGCATTTACTCTCAGCGCTGCCTCACACCGCTGTGTGATGGTGGGCGAGATGCTGAGCCTGTCTCCACCTTAAGAAAAAAAAAAAATGGCTAGCGACTGTGTCTGTCGCACTGGGAACAGCTGAAGCGCTTGCTGTAATGACAGGGGCTAAGATCACATTGAAATTCATGCAGAGTCAGGTGCCCAGCCCGTGGACCACACTGGGATTGGCAGTTACCGGCATGCCCCAGACTTGCTTAACACTGAACTCCGTCAGGAGGAAGAGGGAGACCACCCAACCCCGGCCCTCCCCAAGGGTACAGATACCCCTGGAACCTCCATGAGCCAGAGGGGCAGTTGGAGATGGGGAATGTGGCCCACACCCGTCGTCCAGGCTGACTGCTCTTTGTGACCCTCACACCAGAAGCCCTGGGAGGCTCGGGGAGAGCGTAGAGCTCTGGCCCCACCCAGTGTGAGCAGGTCTGGGGTGGGGGCCTGAGGGTGTGCAGTGCTGATGTGGCCGGGCCAGGACCCTCAGCTCTGAGTGCAACAGCTCTGCAGCCGTCTGAAGTATTCTCTCCAAAGCTGGGAGGGGGACGGAGCCAGGGAGAACAGCCTTTCCAACCATTTCAAAGGCCTGGCCATTTTTTTTTTAATTCAGTGGCTTTGAGAACTTTCTATCTACTCTTTTGAAAAGCCTGGCAGATCTCAGCCCACTACGTCATGGAAACCAGGAGTGAAAAACGGCCTCCAGATTTTTAACTGTTTACCCTCCACCAGTGCGCCTCCCCGAGAAACCTCACGGATGCTGACAGCAGCCTCAGGTCCCTGAAGTGGCTTTGGAAAGAGAGCTTTCAGTCCATAAAGTTAATGGGTGAGAAAGTGACATGCCCACCCGCCTTTTGCAGTGAGTCATCAGAAGAACTATTGATTTTTACCGCTTTGACACTTTGACTGGATGTTGGGTAGAGCATGGAGACAGTGAGAGAGAAGATAAATCAGGTAGAACCCTGGTTGCCACCGCAACAGTAGGGAACCCACGTGGTGAGAGCCCAGATGATGGCTGTGAGGACAAGGAACAGGGGTTCCTTCTAACACCTCTCCCAGCCAGGTGAGGGGGAACGCAAGGAGCACCCCTTCTCTCTGTGAGAGGGCCTCCCTCCATCCCTTAATTTGGGGTGACATTTTGCAAGTCCTGACATCAAAGAAAGAGAAAGCTACATACGTATCTCTGGAGGAAAATGTCTGTATTAAAGGCCAAAAAAATCACATAGAGTACAAGAAGAAACGCCCACCAGGCCACGTCACTGGGGATCGGCTTGGAAAAGGTTTCTAGGAGTCCGAGATTCAGCGGTAACAAGTGTGAAATCCTGCCCACACCCCGCCCCCTCAAATAAATTAAAAAACAAACTTCAAATACAACTGTGTTCAGATACAAAGAGCTCTTCTGACTATAGCAATAGCAAGGTAATCTTTTTGTTTTGTATTTTTTTTTACTAAAACTTTCATTTAAAACGGTTATTAAATATATAAAACAAATACACAGGATTTGGTCATTTTCTGCTGGGAGTCAAGGCAGGGAGGCGGGGCTGGGGATGCAACAAGGGGGAGAAAGGGCCCCATTTCTCTCCTTCCCGTCCCGTGCAAGGGCTCCCGCCTGAAGCCAGGAGCACAGCACAAACCTCGCTCTCCCACCACTCGGGGGACCTCTCCAGCGGCCCCCTCCCGGAAAGGACAGACGAACAAAAACCACAGCACGAAGCACCCCGGCCGGCGCTCGGGAGGCAAGGCACCCGCGGGCGTGGCGCGGTCACTTGGTCGCCACCCCCGAGGTGACGGCCGCGGCGGCGGCGGCGGCTGCAGCAGCGGCGGCGGCGGCTGCGGTGGTGGTGCCCGCGGGCACCGCGGCGGGGGCGGCGGCGGGCGCACTGGCGGCGGTCCGGCGCTGCTCCATCCCGTTGGGCAGGAAGCCGGCGATGATGGGTACCGGCCAGATGAGGGCGGCCACGCTCCACACGACGATGACCAGTGTCATGAAGCAGGCCACCAGCGTGGACTCGATGGGTTTGCGGTTCAGCCGCCAGCCCGACTCGCCCTGCAGCTCCTCCAGGCTGAAGTCCAAGCAGCAGAAATGCAGCGGTTCGCCCTGCAGCCACAGCGGCCCAGGGGGCTCAGCCGCGGGGTAGGCGGGCAGCGCGGAAGGCGTCCCGGCGGTGGGGCCCGGACCGGGCGCCGCGGGCCGGAGACGGCCGGACCGCCGGCCGCGCACCCAGCCGCAGCCCACACACAGGCGCAGGTCCTGCTGCGCGCCGCCAGCCGCCAACCCCAGGTGCTCGATGAGCAGGGGCGGCCCGACACGGTGGAAGGCGGCGGCGAAGAAGGCGCGGCCGTGCGCGTTGGTGGAGAAAAGGAGTAGGTCGCACTGGAAGCCCCGCGGGCGGCCCCAGCGCACAAGCAGCGAGCTCAGCATCTGCCGCTGCACGCTGATGTTGCACGGTGCGGTGGCCGGCGCCTCCTCCGGGCCCGCGCGCTCGGGATGCCCGGGGGCCGCCGAGGCCAGCAGGCGCGGGGCGACGGGCTCGCCCGCGGACGACGCGTTGGCCGAGGCGTTGAGGGACGCCCCGAGCAGGTCCGGCGCGTCCGTGGCGCCGCCGCGAGCGGGCGGCAGCGGGCAGGCGGCGGCCAAGAGCGCGGCGAGCAGGGGCAGCATGGCCTGCGGCGGGCGCCTACGCGCGCGGGGCTGGAGGCGGCTGCATGGCGCGCGGGCAAGCAGGAGCCGGCGAGCGGACGACGGGGCCGCGGGAGTGAGCGGCGAGGCGGAGCGCGTCCTCGCCGGGCACCTGCCAGCCCACGGGGGCGGCGCGGAGGCGAGGACGGCGACTCGCTAGGCGCGGGGATCCCTCCAGATTCGGCTGCGTCCGGGGTTCCCCGTCGGCCACTCCGCCGGGGTCCTTGGACGGCCGAGCTTCTCTTCCCGGCCCGTCGCTAGCCCAGAGCAGGATTCCCCGGCTCCGCTCCGCCTTCCTTGCGCCCCGCCCCTCCCCGCCCTCCGCGCGCAAGGCTCGGGACTCGGGGGAGGGCGGGGTTCCACGCGACTGGCGGGTGGGGGCGCGGCGGGGAATCGCCGGCGGGATAGGGCCCGGAGGCGGGGGCCGTGTGGGCGGCGAGGGCAGTCGCGGGCCACGCGCAGGCGAGGCCCGGGAAGCTAGCGAGCGCCCCCGCGCTCTGCGAGAATGACGTCCGCAGAGGGAGGATCGAGGGCCACCATATGGTCCTTTTGTCACGCCTGAGGGGAGCCTGCTCGGCCTCCAGGAACACCTGGGCCTACCCTGCCCATCTGCTTTGCGGAAGGGGAAACCGAGGCCACCCCACCAGCCGGACACAGAATGCTGCGGGCGCCGCTAGCTTTTTCCTGGCCGTTCTCAGTGGTTCACTTTTTTGTTTTGTTTTCCATGTGTCTCCAATACAGTAGAATCGCTTGGTCCTACCCTCACAGCAGTCCGACCCTCAGGAAAATTCCAAGAACTGTGCAGAGGAATTGGGGTGCACAGAGCCTGGTGGCAAAGACTTGAGGCTCTGCTGGCCAGTTTCCCTCCCATGTAGCCAATGGCCCATGGGAGGTGTAGCAACTGCATGTATGTTGAGTGATTTGTTAGAATCGGTGCACACACACCTTGGCAGAGGATATTATGCCGAGAGTGATGTATTGAAAAGCATGTCCCTAGTCAGCTGTCCTTTCTTACGGGAAACAAACGTGGCTAACTGGGATCAGAAGGGAATGCAATGGCAGGTGGTTGGCAGTCACTGTGCTTCCAGAGTCCAGGTGGCCCTGGTAACCACAGTGGTTCCTTAGGGTACATTTGCAGAAGCATTGGTCTGTTGTTCCCTAACAATTGGAAAGGAGGGCCTGAAAATTGTAAAAACAGAGCCTAGGTAAAGATCTCGGAGCTGCTACGGGGTTGTGTCTTTGCCCTGATGGAGCGCCTGCTGGTCAGAGCCGAAGTCAGCTTTCTGGTGCCGTTCTTGGGTCCTACAGAAAGGGATGCCCCTTTTGGTTCATGTTCCTGGGGCAGACGGTGGGAATTTAATAAAAACGACCCCTCCTTTCAGACCTTGTGTAGCAGGACCCCGTGAACCATGTAGTGGAGCCACTTTTCCCCGGAGCTTCGTGGCTGGGGAGTGCTGAGAATAAGTCTCGAGGGTCCCACAGGCCTAGTCTTGGAAGGTGTGTTTGGAGCCAGAGCACGGTTTGTGATGGCATTCTTGGAGGTTCAAGTCTGATCCTTCCGGGGCCTTCTGGAGCTTTGCCGATGCAGCAGGGAAGGGAGAGGCAAGTCTGTTGGGAGAATCTGGCGCTGTCCCACAAAGGTGTGCCCTAGAACCCAACAGCCCACCCGATCCTGCCCCTGTCCTGGTTGCACACACCTGGGACTCCTACGCCACCTGGTCGTCCCTCAGGGTGACAAGCTTGTTCGGACAACTGCACAGCTCCCAGTTTTAGATCGATTTTCTGTCTCTCTCTGGACAGTTAGGATTTGAGCACAGAAGCTAATGATGAAGTTACGAAATCTGTCAGGTTTGCTCCTGTTTCTAGTGAGAGGAAAGATACCAAGCATAGAGGTCAGAGGCTCAGTAACTACTTGGGCTGGGATAGATTGGCTGATTTTGCTAACGGCTTGGATGACCCTTCTCTTCATGCACTCCTCAAGCCAGTCGCTTTACACACCATCTCTGGGAGCAGCAGAAATATCTCCTCCCAAGGGGTTGGCCTGTGCATAAACTCAGTGAGAAAAAGGTACGATCATGTTTGAGTCAGAGAAAAGTAACTTTCAGTCATACGTCTGCTTAGAGACGTGCTTGGTCACTATAGGATAGCAGCATTATGTAAAGGTTGGGACATGGTCCTCCAACAGTGACCATTTTGGTTTTTTTTCCCTTCAGCGCCGTTGGCTGGAGGCACAACAGGACCCGGCTAGCCCTCCTGGGTGTGTCCAGGGCCTGAGAATTCTGCCCATGCCACAGGCTGACCCTTGTTCATAAGCTGGGAACCCAGACCACCTCCTTGTTGTATCACCAGTTGCGTTTTCTGCTCTTGGCCTACTCTGGCCCAGGCATCCAAGGAGCGGATGCCAAGCCTGTGGCCATGCTGGTTCCTGGGCCGGGGATATTGTCCTTGCCAGTGTCTGCCGCTGGCTTCCTTTGTCCTGTGCTCGGGCGTCAGCTCCTGCGGCAAGCCTCGGCTGATCCTTTTCTGTTAGCAGCACCTGTTCCTGCTGTGCTGTGCATCCTCCATGTTCCTGTGTGTGGCTGGCCTGCTCCTTGCTGTTGTGGTCAGCTGGCTCACGTGGGTGAGGGGATGGGGTCTTTGAAAGCTCCGGGAAGATACTTGTCTTGAAGTAACTGCATGGGCTTTGCTTTTTTTTTTTTTTTAACCCTAATAAATACTATTTTTTTTAAACAATTTTTTAAAACAAACATTATCTTTTAATCCAGTTTTGTGCCAGTCTTCTCAAGTAGGCTAGTGTAGTTTTTATTTTTTCATTTTATTTTGCTTTTGTTTTTTTGCTTCACTTCATGTCTCTCCCTGTATTGGAGGCTCTGCTCCCCCGAGGCAAGACTTGGCCACTGCACTCGGTAGAGGCTCCGTAGATGGCTGAGGAGTGAGAGTGAGTTCCACAGACCGGGCCTTACCAGCAGGCAGGATACCAGCAACAGCTTAAGGAGTGGACATGGGCAGAGCTGCTGGCAGGCAGGGGGTAAAGTGGGGTCACAATATCAGATTAAGGGAAAGATGCAACCCATTTCCTAGTCGTGTTCCCAGATCTTTTTCCTTTTTATGAAATGAAAACTTTGATGAAGGATAGCAAGTTGTTCTTCCTTTTTTTTTTTTTCCCTACATGGGATTTATTGTTGAAAACAGTAACTGAAGACTTCCAAGAAAGCGATTAGCAATCATGCGTGGTGATTTTCTTCTCTTTATTTGCCATATCACTCCTTGGGATTCGTTAATTTTGCCTGATACTGCCAATTGCAGTAATAACTTAAAAAAAAAATCATCTCCAAGGGTGACTTGAATTCCTTTCAGCTGCCGACCTCAGAGTGTTGCAGGTACTGTCGCTCGTTAGTTCTTATTATGCGGGTGAAATTAAGATATTATAACCATACAGGGTACACTGAGAGGCAAGTGAGAGCTGCAAAAGCCTGAAAAAAAAAATAACACAGAGGAGAGATGGGACTAGGAATCTGGAGCTCCACACATCCGAGTTGCTGGTGCAGGAAGCCAGGTTGTGTTGGCTGTGTGTTTGCAGGGAGGACTAGAAAGTGGGAGAAGAATGTGGGCCACACCCATCTCCCTGGGGAATTTCATTCCTGACCTGGGCAGCTCGAGCCCTGGCAGGAATGTGCTCATGGGCACTGGTGTGGCGGAAGTCCTTGGGTCTGGTTGATTTGATTCCTGACAGTCCCTGGTTTCTGCCACCACACAGCCCTGCAGTGCCCTCAGCATGCCCTTGCCAGTGTACAGGGCACGAATGTTTGTCCTTCCTGGGAACTCTGGTCAGAAGGGAAATTTTCCCCCTGGGATGCTGGTAGCAACAACAGGCTGCATGTTCCATGTGGTAGTTAGTCCTGGGCGTCCTTTGGACGAGGCTTCTGAAGGCTTCAGGCCGTCCCTTGCAGGCCATGTTCATGTGTGGCTGCTCTGTGTCCATGGTGGTCAGGGGCTGCCCTTGTGTATATGGGCAGTAGCTTCCTGCTGGACATCTGGGAGAGTCTCAGTGAAGGCATTTGAGGAAGCAAGCCTCTGCCGATCCAGAGAGCTGGGGGCTGGTGCCCATGTAGTGTCCGTGGGGAAGACTTGCAGGAGAGACAAATACCTCTTGTGGACTTGGCCTGGGGGTGGTGCCCACATTAGCAAAAGTTGTCCCTTTAACAAGACTTACTGTGCCCCAGCCATGTGCTTAGAGTGTAGCAAGGAAGAGATTTGCTATGTGACCATTTTACAGATGGGATAAACTGAGGATCAGAGGAATTAGGTCTCTTGCACTGATATGCAAAAGGAGAACCAAGATTCAACCTTATTTGATAACCTCGTTCTTAATCACAGCTCTGCCAAACGGCCTCCACCATCTGTCTCAAGCAACACTGCAAACTGGAGGTCTGTCTCCTGTGTGATTGATGAGGAAGCAGGTGCAGGAGTGCCAGCCATGGGCGAGGGCTGTGTTATCTAGCCAGCTTGCAATCGCATACCAAGTACTCAGCACTGAGTCCTGAATCCCTCCAGCCAGTTCTCAGTCTGACGCATTAGCTTGCGGACAGAGCTGTGGGTCACTGCTGCTTTCCCAGAGGAGCCAGGACTCTGGCCATTGTTTGCCAACGGGGTCCCCTTGGTTTGGGAACCTGGACTTTGTTAGGTCAGTTGGCAGATGTCCTGCCTGAGGCTCGCAGTCTCCCCAGGAAGCTTTCAGGATAACACGGATGCATTCTTAATACTGTGTTTATGAACGATACTGAGCAGTGTTGAAGAAGCAAAGAAAGAAGGGCCGGGGCCACTGACTCACTGATGGGGACACAGCATTGCTTCTTGGTGACAGCTACTGTTGCACACTCCCTTCCTGGGTTGATGCCTATCATGAGCTCCTAGTGGAATCCATTTCTTTAAGAATAGTTGCTGGGCCCTGCGTGATAGTGTAGTGGTTAAAGTCCTTGCCTTGCACGCACCGGGGTCCCATGTGGGCGTCGGTTCTAATCCCAGCAGCCCCGCTTCCCATCCAGCTCCTTGCTTGTGACCTGGGAAAGCAGTCGAGGACGGAAAAAGATTTGTTTATTTTTATTGGAAAGGCAGACATACAGAGAGGAGTAGAGAGAGAGAGGAAGATCTTCCGTCAGATAGTTCACTCCCCAAGTGGCCACAACGGCCAGTGCTGTGCCGATCCAAAGCTAGGATCCAGAACTTCCTCCAGGTCTCCCACGC